TGCGGCGACAGGGGCCGGGCCCGCGCCCTACGAGCGCCGGGTGCGCTGGCTGCGAGAGATCCAGTCCACTCTCCGCGAGCGGCGGCCGGAGCGCGCCCGGCAGCTGCTGCGCCTCCTGCGCCAGGCGAGAGAAGGAGCGGGGCGGCCCGGGATTGGGGGGTCAGGGAGGAGCCGGGGCTGCGGGCTTCTGGGCGGGTGGGTTCCTAGCGTGCACCGCGGGTTTTGCAGACGTTGAGGTTCTTGCGTGGAGGGAGGGCGCGGATTAAAGTGAGGGCCAGGTGGGGCCGAGGGAATTGCTTGCCAAAGAAGGGGGTGGCATGTTGGGGCACCGGGATTTGAAGTCTGGTGTGCTGTGTGTGTTGAGGGACCACCAGTCAGGAGCTAAGAGCCCGCATTTGGACCTTCTCAAGAGTTGGAGTGGGTGAGGGTAGGGGCATCTCATGCTGAAGGACAATGGGAAGAGCGCAGCTCCCCATCCTGCAGGAAGAAAGGAAGCACCAGATCCGGGAGAAAGGGTCCTGGGAGGCACAGCCCAGATGGTCGGCGCGGGTGAGCCAGGAGACAGACATCATGACAGGACAGACAAAGCCACAGCGCGGGCACCACCCATTCTAACAGGCAGCTTGAACCCACTGAGAATACACAACCACCTTTGTACACGGCAGTGCCACATCTGGCCCTCGGGAGACACTTTTGGTACCCTAGCCGGAGACCCTGAGCCCTGAGTTGCCCTGGGATGCCTGTCCCAGCACTACCCCGGGGGGGGGGGCAAATCACTCCCCATTCAGCCTCCTCACGCCCTGCAGTAACTGCTGCCCGCCCCCCCCCGCCCCCCGTGAAGGTAGACGGTGCTTAGAGCTGGAGAAGTGATGAGCCAGGGCACGGACAGAACAGAGAGAAGGGGTCTAGGGAGGTAGCTCAGTGTTAGAGCATTTGAGAGTCCTGAGCTCCATGTATCCTAGCACTATTTAAAAAAAAGAAAAAGAAAGAAAGAAAACAGGATAAGCCGGGCATGGTGGTTCACACCTATATTCCCAGCCCTTGGGAGATGCAGGCAGGAGATCAGGGGTCCAAGGTCATCCTGTATGACACTTAGCCCTGGCTTAGCCTCCGGAAACAACATGGTCAGGATCTGGGAGGCATCCAGGTCTGTCTCCAGCCCGGAGGGTGCAGGGAGGGAGAGAGAGAGAGAGAGAGAGAGAGAGAGAGAGAGAGAGAGAGAGAGAGAGAGAGTCGCAGAGAGGTGGTGATCCAGGGCTGGATACTTCCAGTCCTGCTCTTCCTCCACCACTGCCTTCTCTGTAGACTCAGCAGTCTGGAAAAGTGGAGCTGTCACTTTAAGAGGCACTGACCAGGCCAGTGGAAGGTAGGCTGCTGTCTGGGGCCCTGTCTGGGTCTGCCCAGACTCACCAGCCTGCTTCCTCCTGGATCCTCCCCCCTAGCTGGCATCTGTAGCTTGAACCACACTGAAAATACAAGCAAGAGAGCCACTGCCAAGCAGCACCCAGCCAGGCATATTGCCTAGAAATACAGATCACTATCTGTGATGGTGGAGCCCAAGGCATCGACTTGCATTTTTCCTGGAAGCATCTGGGAAGGGATCAACCTCAGAGAGCGGCTAAGTCCCCTCCTCGTATCCTAGAAGTTGAGATTTGAGGCATATCCAGGCCCCCATCCTGTCCCATACCCTGCAGGAACTCTAACTGCAGCCTTTCAATGTGTTCCTGCTGCCTGGCCTGACTTCCTGTGTACTCAGGACAGCACAGGGCACATCTTCTGGCTGAGGGGTTAGAGGATGGCACATGGAGGCTGGGCACTAGGAGGCTGCCTGCATATCCTCTAAAACACCCTTTGTGCACACGCCTTTAATCTCGGTATACAGGAGGCTGAGGCAGATAGATCTCTGAGTTCCAAGTCAGTCTGATGTATAAAGCGAGTTCCAGGCCACTCAGGGCTATACAGTGAGGCCCTATCTTTATTTATTTATTCATTCATTCATTCATTCATTCATTCATTCATTTATAATTTAATTAATTAATTAATTTTTGATTTTTCAAGACAGGGTTTCTCCATGTAGTTTTGGTGCCAGTCCTGGATCTCCCTCTGTAGACCAGGCTGGCCTCAAACTCACAGAGATCTACCTGCCTCTGCCTCCCGAGTGCTGGGATTAAAGGCGTGTGCCACCGCCGCCTGGCCGAGGCCCTATCTTGAAAAATAAAGACAAATCAAGATGCTCAGCCTTACATCAGGTCTATAGGTATAGACTGGAGAAGGCCAATGGGTGAAGGGTCAGGGCCCTGACCCCGAGGTCTGGTTGAAGAGAAGAAGACTGGCAGGCTGGGAAGGCTGTGATGGCTACGTCCAGGGAATCATGGCTCTGCACATTCTGTGAGTCTCTGATGGCTCAACTTCTAGGGGTTCAGTCTCCACCAGTGGAATGGAGGGTAAAGGTCATGTGTGTTTCACAGAGTGGCCCTGGGAACCCAGGGAGGAACGCGGAAGCCTGGGAACCCTGAGCAAAGGTGACTGGGTCTGAGGTCTGAACCTTGGCAGCAGCAGTGGGAGAAGGGGGACCCACCCACCTGGTGAGCTGGGGACAGAGGGAAAGGATGCTAGGTGATCCCTACAGAGGTGGACAGGAGGGTGTGGTCCCCTACTGCACTCCGGAAAGGGACATGAGGCCGGCAAGTGAGCAGGCTGAATTTGAGCTGCTTTGGTGAACACGATCTGGGGAAGGGGCTCACTCCCAGAGGAGGAAAGAGGGTAGCGCAGTTCAAGAGACCTCAGGGACAGGGAGGAAACAAAGGACCCCAAGGGGGTGCTAGGGACATTAGCGTCCAGGGTTATTAAAGGAGTTATTAGAACATCACAGCAAGACATTACACAGCCAACAACTAGTGTGAGTAACCTGATGATCACACACACACACACACACACACACACACACACACACACACACACACACGCCTCACTATGCCCTCTCTCTCTAGACGCGTGGCTGCCACCATATGTTGAGAGATTCCAGCAAGCCGGGAGTTGTGGGGGGCGGGGGGATCATTAGAAATATGTGAACCAGCAGGGGGTGGATCTTCTGTCTAGCCGGGAGGAGGGCCCTGACCTCTGCCTTATGCAACTATCATTTCACCAACCATAGGACCTGGGCCTCGAAGGGAACCTCCTCACTGACATCCTCTACAGGAATGTGGCTTTGCTTAACCTGGTGGACCCCATCTCCCACGACTTGCTGGTGAACCTGGCCCGGGACCTGCAGTGTCCCAAGAAGGTAAGGTCAGAGGGCATAGGTCCGGGGAACTTGGGTTCTCATGCTCGCTTAGGCCTTAGGCTCGTCACTATCCCTCTTAAGAACAGCTTCCGGAGCAGGTGTAAACTGTTTTGCTGAGCTCTAAAACCACGCTCTTAGGTAGACCTGTCTCCCCACTGGTGGTGGTGTGCACCCCACCTGAGCAGAAGACCAATAGAGGCCGGGCGGTAGTGGCACACGCCTCTAATCCCAGCACCCGGGAGGCAGAGGCAGGCAGATCTCTGTGAGTTCGAGGACAGCCTGGTCTACAAAGCAAGATCCAGGACAGGCTCCAAAAGCTGCACAGAGAAACCCTGTCTCCAAAAGAAAACAAAAACAAAAACACCCTATAGGGACACAGAACACAGCCTGTCTTGACGCGTCCACTGTCAGAACCACGTGTTCTGTTCCTGGGTCAGGAGAGAGACGCCCTAGGCTGAGGCCCCTGGTCTCTGTCCTGCTTGGACACCTTTGGGAAAAGGGGTTCACAGTCCCTTCCACTGCTACTTGGGTCACAAACAAATCCCATGTCAATGCTAACTTGGAACCTGCCACCTGCAGCTTCTACCTCCTCGGACCCTGTTCTGACAACACCCGCAGATGTCCCATTGTGAACATGGACACAGCACTGGCCTGTAGGTCTGTGGTCAGCCACGAGTCCCCAAGAATCTTGGACACAATGAAAACCCCCCCAACATGAAATAAGGGGGTCCACTACAGGCCCTGTCAGCTCTGAATCCCACATTGGTACTCAGCTGGCTAGTCCACAGCCATCCCAGTAGCCTAATTGACTCTGTGTGTGTGTGTGTGGTGTGTGTGTGTGTGTGTGTGTGTGTGTGTGTGTGTGTGTGTGTGTTGCAAGCTCTGGGGGCTGCTTATAGTATAAAAGAAGGTTCTGGGTAACGGAGCCCTGCTCAGTGCCAGCTGTGTGGAAAGCATACCTTGTGTGCCCCAAGCTGGGCCTCTTTGGGGATACAATTAGGGACCAATAGAGAACCGTGTGGTGTAGTAAAACATCAATCCCCGGCCCTGTCAGCCCAGACCCAGGCCCCACGGGCGCAGCGCAGCTTGGAGAATGAGAGGAAGAACATGCTGACCTGGCTCGGTCCTATTCTCTGGGACTGGCGTCTCTGGAATAGGGCTCCCTCAAGGGGCCTGGTCTGGCCTCCTCCTTGTGGCAAGTCCCCTGAGGGTGTTGAGGGTGGCAAGCTGCCGGCTGATAGCTTGAGCTACTGGCCTGAGGCCTGAGGACAGAGAACAAGGGCCCATTGTCTGGGCTTCCTCCCACCGGGCACTGCGGGCCTCACACCAGCCTGTCCAGCTCCCAGCAGGCAGCCTCTCCCGGCTCTGCGCCAGGATGCAGCCGGGGGCAGAATGCAAGGGCTCAGGCTCATCCTCACCATGACGTTCCCTCCTCCCCCCCGCAGGACCACGAGCCCTGGAAGTCATCTGATAAGATCTGTCGGCAGCTCATCTACCACCTCACCCCTCACTCCAAGCGAAAGCCCCACAGGAAAACCCAGAACAGGTAAGGAGAGCCCAGCCACACAGACCTTGCACACTGTCTTTCAGGATCCCTTCTCTGAGAGCTGAGTGTGCAAAAATCCCACTCTGTGGCCCTCTTGCCTTCATCTACATTAAGGCTGCAGCCGTGGCCACTACCCTGGTCCACAGCAACAGATGCCCCTAAGCCAAGCTGCGTGCTCCCTATGACTTGCTTCCCGGTTCTTCCAGGACAGTGGCATCTCCTGCCATTCCCTGGTCCCTCCATCCCTGTCCCTTCCCAGGACCTGTGCCTCCTTGGGTCCCAGGTACATCAGGTGAAATCTTCATCAGGACAGATTCTATAAGCCTCCCATTTCACAGGGAAGAACACTGAGTTAGGAGAGGGAGAGTAGCTTGCCTAAGACCATTCCCTCCCTGATTACCTTGAAGCCCTTTTGGGAACTCATCAGCTCCAGGCTTCCTGATGCAGAGACTTCCACAGCCTCTTGATAGCTTACTCTGCGTGGGGTCTCCTGTTTCAGGGGGCCCTCATGACACAGTCTCAGCCCAGAACCAAAGGCCCTAGCACCACAGCTGAGAGTTGACCCGAGCTCTGTGTATCCCCCGCCTTGTTTTATTCTTACACCTCCTGGCCCACGGCAAACTCAGAACCCGTGAGGCTGCTTTCTGCCACAGAGGATGGGGTCCTGGCCATGTCCTCCCTCACTGCTCTCAGTGACCCACCACCCAAAGCAGCCCTATCTTCCCATAGGGCTGTGGATAAAGAACCGGAGAGAGAGCGGAAGTGTGCCAAGGGCCCTGGAGGATCAACCCTCCTCCCTCGGGCTCCAAGTGCCTCTTTCAGCTTAACACAGGGAGGCCTACCCTAGCAAGCTCTTAGCTCATCCACTTCCTTCCCCCTTTACGATCCTGGGCCTGTCCCGTCTCTAGGCCCCAAACGCTGAGAGGACCAGAACGATCCCATAGCCACTCGTGGCAAAGGTTTTCATTATCTTAAAGGATGCTGCTTCTAGAGGGGCACAGGGGTCACAGCGTTGGGATTTAGAGCCCTGGTTCCCACTTAGTGATGGACAGCCAAGGGACCTTTGTCTTCTCTTAGTTCCTGTAGAATGGGCCATCACCTATACATCCTTGGGCTGTCATGAAAATAGACAATATTAACAGATGCAAGAAGCACAATAATAATAGTCCGCACATAGAGCCTTAATGCATGTATGTAGTCCTCACCACAGCCCTGTTCCCATTTCACCAGAGGGGAAACCGAGCTCAGAGAGATTCCTAGCATTGCCTCTGGTCATCCACTTTATAAAAAAAAAAAAATGGCGTTAAAGTGGTTTACTTATTTTTATTTTTTAAGTGTTATGAGTGTTTTCCCTGCATGCATGTATGTGCGCTGTGCCTGTACTTGGTGCCTGAAAAGGCCAGAGGGTGTTGGAACCGCAGTCACAGACAGTTGTTGGTCATTATGTGGGTGCTAGGGACCGAACCTGGGTCCTCTGAAAGAGCAGCAAGTAGTCTTGACTGCTGGGCCATCTCTCCAGTCCCAGAAGTGGCATTTTAAAACCAGGCTTTGCCAGGCCAGAGGACCTAGGTTGCCCTTGGTGGGTAACTGTCTGTGGTGGGTGGGGTCCTGCCTAGGTCTGGGCTCTGGTTCAGTGCGCCCACCTGCATCCTTCCGTAGCCTCAAGAGCAGCCTCCAGAAGACCCCGCTGGTAGGGGAGACCGTGGACCTTTCCGGCATCCCGCTATCCGCCCGAGACGTGCGGCACATAGCACGCTACCTGGGCAGCCATGGCGTGGAGCTGGTGGTTTTAGACCTGAGCTTCACGGAGCTGAGTGATGAGCTGCTGCACCGCTTGCTGCCCAGCCTTTGGGCTCTGCCCCGCCTCACCCAACTGCTGCTCAATGGCAATCGGCTGACGCGAGCTGCTGCCCGGGAACTCACCGAGGCTATCAAGGACACCACCAAATTCCCTGTGCTGGCCTGGATAGATCTGGGAAACAACGTGGACGTGTCCTCACTGCCCCAGCCCCTGCTGGTTGGCCTTCGGCGGCGACTGAGTCAGCACACCTCGCTCCCTACCATCTATGAGGGGCTGGACCTTGAACCCGGGGGAGGCATGGCTGAGACCACCGCTGCTGTCTCCACCTGGGGCTCTGCGGCTCCTGAGACAGGACCAGAGCCTCAGGGTTGCTGTGCTAGGTGACTCACTACTGGTCTGGTTCGTTGCTACTGAGTGAGGTCTTTTAAGAACGAGGTATTGGGGGCCCTCCATGTCCCACAGAGAGACAGACAGTGGACATGCTCAACTTGGGATGAAGTGGTGGAATAAGGGTTTCATGGAAGACAGGCCAGCCAGCCCAGGCTCAGGGCTCCACCTCACCCAGCAAAGAGGGGCCCCAGCACCCACAGCCCCGACCTTCCATGAAAGGATGGTATCCCTCACCTCAGGCTTTATATACCACCGACTTCAGACTCACTGAGCTCCAGGCTTGCTGCAGAGGTAGGAAAACCCCACCTGCCCAGAGCGGGTGGACCACAGCCAATACTGGTGTCCCCTTAGCGCTCACTGGCAGGACTCCATGGAAACCAAGGTGTAGGGGTCATGGGTCCGATGGTGTGGCCTCAGGAGTCAGAGGAGACATGACATCTGGGCAGCATTTGAGTTCTCTATATTTGGGGGCTTCAGGGGAGCAGGTCGGGAGTCACAGACAGGCAGAGCTGTGCATGGAGCCCCACAGCAGGTGCCATCAGGGCCCATCAGTGTACACTGGGCTGGGGACAAGGCTTCACACACCAAAGGCAAAAGGCCACCGTGGTTCTGAGGGGGTTGACCCTGTGTTTGTCTTCCACAGGGCACAGCACTGCCCACTCTCCTCAGCTCCAGGCCCTAGGCTTCCTGTAGAGGGTGAGGAGATCTGGCTGGCTAGAGATGAAGAGCTAGAGTGTTTTCTCTAGTTCTGGGGTCACACGCGGCACGTCATGGGTGGAGGTGGGCCTAACTAGCATCCGGAGTTACAGACTTAAGGGTATCTCCATAGGGAGTTACTGTCTTCCTACCCCAAATCCCTCAAGGTGGAGTCCTAACTAGAAACCTAATGTCTGGTCACCCTCATTGCCGCATTTAGGAGACTATAGAGTTTTTAGCTCAACCAGGAGATAGGCAGAGCATGTGGGAGAAGGGACTCAGAGAAACCCAGGGTGTGGAAGCCAGTGGCCTAAGTCCTCTGTGTAGAACCAAGACTTAAGGCCTGGTGACCGCAGAGAGACCCAGGAACAGAGGGCAGCCTCAGGGACAAGGTAAAGGCTGGGGTTGGGGGGGGGGTTCGCTCTGAACCCGTGCCCAGAGCCCACCAGTTCTGACCCCCCCCACCTCCCTGTCTGTCTCCAAGTGGACTATGGATGGCACATTTAGCACCCCTCCAAAAAAGCCATCAATTCCAGCACATCCCCAGACCAGAGGCCAAGAAGGGAGAGGGCTGGATTACATCAGCTCCCAGGCCAGGGAGGGAGGTCAGGTGAGGGAAAGGATTTCACCTCATGCCCCACTGCTTCAGACAGCTGCTTCTCAGGGGGGCAGTGAGAAGAGTGTAGGACCTCTGGCTCTGCTCCGCTAGCCGGGGGACCTGGCCAGGTCCCCTTCTTCTTTGGGCCTGGGGCCCAACTGCCCCCTCTCTGTTAAATAGAACTTGCTATCCTGGATCCTGGCGCTCAGAGCTTCATCTAGAGGTACTAACTTCCTCCTCCTCCTAGAGCCCCCCCACCTCCTTCCTCCCACCCCCCGCTTGTTTTAAAAACATGGCTCGGAGTTATAGAACTTTCACTGTGCCTTACCCACTCAGGACAAGGATTTGAGCTTTCTGGAGCCAGACAAAGCAGAGTGGAGTATGGGCCAGCTGAGGAGGAAGGGAGGGCCAGCTTTGGGCCCAGCAGACGGATAGCCCCATCACATGCTCAGGCAGCCGAGTTCTCCCTGTAACTCTTGAGCTTTTGCTCAGGGTCTCCCCTGCCCTTCTTGCTTTCTGCCCACAGCTGGCCTGAAGCCAGCCCACATACCTTTAGAGATCCCCGTGCCACGACATTCTTCCTACGATGATGTGCGAGGACTGGAGCCAGGTGTCCCAGGCAGTGTCCAGGCAAATCCAGGTGGCAGCAGATGGTCTCGGTTTCTCCACCTTTTGGAGGCATGTGATGCAATAGCTGAGCCGGAGCCTGCAACGGCTTTAGGAGATGTGGGCAAAGTTGATCTTGCTGCTACGCAAGTGGTCCTGACCCTTCACGGCATTCTCACGACTACCAGCAGGGAGATTCCATGGGCAGGGACGGAGATTTCCAGAAGTGAGGGCTGTGTCTCTGTGTGCTACTGTAACAGAATACCACATCCTGGTAATTTATAAACAACAGAAGTTTACTTAGCTCGTGGTTCTGGAGGCTGGGGAATCTGACAGAAGGAGTCCATCTGGTGAGGGCTTCCTTGCTCTGTCATGGTATGTATCACATGTCTAGAGAGCACGAGAGCGGCCCCACTGTGGCAATCAGGACGACTTCCATCATGAGGGCAGAGCCCTGCTGACCTAATCCCTCTTTAAATCATCTCTTGCCTGTTGGTTTTTCAGTGCATGCGTTCTGAGGGAGGCAGGCATTCAAGTCTGTAGTATGCTTCATTCAGCTTGGTGGTGATGAGAACATCGACCAGGAGAGAAGGAAGCATGTGGGGCCTTGCTCCGGGGCCAACTTGGAGACCTACAAACCCATCCATCCTCGGTCCAGACCCATCACTTCCTGTCAGTGTGGTCCATTTGGGAACTAAGTACAAAAATCCTCCTTGTCCTGCTGAGGTGAGGAGGGAATGAGGTTTGGAAAGAGCCTGCCACAGAGGGGTGCAGGCCAGCTTGCTGTATGTAGTGCTAGGGAGTCCATCCAGGCTCTCTGTGTGGTGAGGTTTGGCAAGAGCTAGGCTGCAAACACATCTGTCTGTCTGTCTGTCTGTCTATCATTTGTCTATCTATCTACTTACCTATTATCATCTACCTATCTATCTACCTATTATCTATCTATCTACTATCATCTCTGTATGTATCTGTCTACTACATCTGTGTATTGTATGTATGTATGTATGTATGTACGTATGTACCTGCCTGTCTGTCTATCTATCTATCTATCTATCTATCTATCTATCTATCTATCTATCTATCCATCCATCCATCTATTCTATCTATCTCTCTATCTCTCTATCTCTCTCTATCTATCCATCCATCCATTCTATCTATCTATCCATCCATCCATCCATCCATCCATCCATTCTATCTATCTATCTCTCTATCTATCTCTCTCTCTCTATCTATCCATCCATCCATTCTATCTATCATCTATCTATCTATCTATCTATCTATCTATCTATCTATCTATCTATCTATCTATCTATCTATCTCAGCACTGAAGCACACTAGGCAAGTGCTTTTTCACTGCACTCTACCCCAGCTCTCCATTGAATCACTTACTCATTTAGCCAGAGTCTTGTGATGCAGCCTACCCTGGGCTTCCACCTTCTGAGTGCTGGAGTAACAAGCCCGTGCCACTGGGTCTAGCACAGTCTTTCTGAGAGCCCAGAATCCCTGGCAACTGGTCCCTGCTGCACCGAGGTTTCTCTGGGTGGCGAGGGAAAGCACACTTGTGGAGATGGAGACCGTGGCCGATTGCCACCACGACCACTGTCATCTCCACCAACAGAAACCTCCACTATTTCCTTCCCAACTGCAGCTTTCTTGTTGTTGTTTGGAAACAGTCATTTATTTAAAAAGCAAGCTGTTAGGAGCTGGGTGTGGCGACACATGCCTGTAGGCCAGCCTTGGCTATGTAATAAGCATCCGTAAAATTGCAGCATAATAAAGCAAACACACTGTGGCAAGTTTAGAGTGTGCGGCATAGTTTTGTCATATTTACACAGACATGAAAACCACGGCAGTAAATGTGTCTGTCACCCCAAGCTTGCTGTGTTCCCTGCTGACCCCCTTCCTTCCACCCCTACCTCTCAGAAACCACTGGACTGTGTTATGCCCCATGAATTAGTTTCCATTTTCTAGATTTGAGAACAGCTTATGGGATCATACAAATATACCCTCTCTATATATATGTATATACTATATACATATTAAAAACAGCATAATTATTTTGAGACTCACCTATATTATTGCGTGTATCAAGAATTATGTTTTGAATAGTATTTCATGGGTGTACCAGAGTTTATCCATGAACCTGTTGATGGATAGTTGGTTGTTTCTAGGTTCTGGCTATGACAGGCAAGGCTGCTATGAAAATTCATGTACTAGTTATGGCATGAGCATTTTATTTCTCTAGTAAGCACCTAGGAATGTATATTAATTAGTCTTTCATTGCTATGGGAAAATACCTAAGAAAAACAACTTAGGAGAGGAAGAATTTGTTTGTTATTTCAAGGGTGTCTGACCATGTTTACTTGGTCTCTTGGGCCTGAGTGAAGGCTGAACATGTTCAAGCAAAGCCATTCACCTTGTGGCTGCTAGAAAAGAAAGAAGAGGTCGGGGGAGAAAAAGATGGACTTTGGGTGAGCTTCTTCCTCCAATAACCCATCCGATTGTAAACCCATTGCTGAATTAGCCCACTAATAATCCAGTCACCTGTGGAGCATCACCAGCTGTGAATCAAACCATCAGTATATCAGCTTTTAGGGGCTACAGTTCATATCCCAACCATCTAGAGTAGAATGGCTAGGTCACATGGCAGGTGTCTGTAACACTTTAAGTGTCGCCAGGTGGTGGTGGCGCACGCCTTTAATCCCAGCACTTGGGAGGCAGAGCCAGGCGGATCTCTGTGAGTGTGAGGCCAGCCCAGGCTACCAAATGAGTTCCAGGAAAGGCGCAAAGCTACACAGAGAAACCCTGTCTTGAAAAACCAAAGGAAAAAAAAAAAAGAAAGAAAGTGTCACACTGATTTGCAAGGTCTTCATATAACTTCACAGTCTTACCAGTGGTGCACAGGATTTCAGGTCCTCCCCTTTATAGTTGCTAACACTGATAATTATTAGTGTGGTGTGTAGGGGTGGGTGGGTACATGTTCAACGGCGCACATGTGAAGGTCAGAAGACAACTATATTGACTTAGTTTTTTCCTTCAATTCCTACATGGGTTCCAGGAATTGAACTCATTACCAGGCTTGCCCAGCAAGACCTATCTTGCTGGCCCTATGGTTTTTAATTTAATTTTACTTTTGTCTGAGAATGCAGTGTGGCTCTGTACTGTTGGAATTTTTTAATTAATTTTACAGCTCACCATATGGCCAATATTGGTAAATGTGTGTGCTTGTAAAGAATGTATATTCCGTCGCTGCTGGGTAAAGGTGTTAATCAAAGTCAGGGTGATGATAGTATTGTTTAGGTCTAGGCTATGCTTGCTGCTTTTCTCCCTGTTTATCTGTTGAGAGGGAACACTGAAGTCTCTAACTATAATTGTGGATTTGTCTATTTCTTATTGTTGTACTAACTTTTTTTTTCTTTGTATGTTCTGAAGATTAATTATTGGGAGCATACATGTTTAAGTCTGCCATGGACCCTTGATTAACCGCCTTGCTATCATCATGAAAGGACCCTTATAGCCTGGTGGTATTCCTTCTTCTGAAATGTGCCTAACTGATATTAATTAGCTTAACAATCAAAGCTAGGTTTTATGTCAAATGGCCAGGTTTTATGTCAACTTGATAAAAGCGAGAGTCGTTTTGGAAGAGGGAATCAGTTTAGAAGATGTGCCCACCAGATTGGCATGTACACAAGACTGTGGTACATTTTGTTAATTCGTGATTGACAGGGGAGAGCCCAGCCCATTGTGGGTGGGGCCACCCCGGGCTGTTGGTCCTGGGTTCTGTAAGAAGGCAGGCTGAGCATGCAGTGTAGAGGAAGCCAGTCAGCGGCACCCCTCCATGGCCTCTGCATCAGCTCCTGCCTGCAGGTTCCTGCCCTGACTTTCCTCAGTGATGGACTGTGATGTCGAAGTGTAAGCTGAAATAAATAAACCCTTTGTCTCCAAGTTGCTTTTGGTTGTGGTGTTTTATCACAGTAAGAGAAAACCTAACCAAGACAGATAGTAAATATGCTGTTTCATCTTTTTCTTTTCAAGATTTATTTTTATTACTTTTAATTGTGTGTGTGTGTGTGTGTGTGTGTGTGTGTGTGTGTGTGTGTGTGTGTGTGTGTGTTATGGGATCCCCTTGGAGATCTAGTTACAGATGACTGTAACCCATGGAATGTGGGTGTTGGGAACTGAACTCAGATCCTCTGCAAGAGTGCTCCTAAACACTGACCTTGACCCTTCTCCAGCCTCCCCCCAGCCCCTTTTCATCCTTTTTACCCTTTGATATTTATTTTGTTTTTTCTTCCAGTATATTTCAATCATATCCTTCCCCTCCTCAACTCCTCCCAATTACTCTCTGCCTCCTTACATACTTAACCTCATGTTCTTTCTTTCTGTCTTTATAAAAGCAAAAACAAAAATAAAAAATTGAAACAAAAAACGGCAAGATTAAAAAAAAAATACCCAAAATGGAACAAAAAGCAACCCCTAAACACACACAAAACGGACTCCATTTTGTATTGGTCAACTGCTCCTGAGCATGCGAGCAGCAGCCTGTCCTGGGGTGTGCTTGATAGACTCAGTGACACTCCACTGGAGAAATCTGATTTTCCCTTTCCCAGAAGGCATCAGCTGCAAATAACTTCTTGGTGAGGGGTGGGACCATTTATCTACCTCCCTTCTCCGTGCGGAACCTGTGCAGGTCCTATGTATGATGTCACAGTCTCTGTGAGTGAATGTGTGTGTCAGCCCCCTTGTATTAGGAAGACACTCTTTCCTCAGGGTCATCCACCACTTCTGGCACCTACATTCTCCCACTTCTTCTGTATAGGTCCCTGAGCTTTGACAGGAGGTGTTCGGCAAAGGCATCCCACTTAGGACTAAGTGCTCCAAAGTCTCTCAACGTCTGCACATTGCCCAGTGGTGGGTCTCTGTGTTAATCACCACCCACTGAAAAAAGGAAGTTCTCGGATGAGGGTTGAGCAATGTACGATCTATGGGCATACTAACATGTCATTAGAAGTCACTTTATTGCTATGTTCCTTTAGCAGAAAAACAGTAGTAGATTTTCTCCTGGAGCTCATGGCCTGTCTAGAAAAGCATGTCATTAGAAGTCACTATATTGCTATGTTCCTTTAGCAGAAAAACAGTAGTAGATTTTCTTCTCCTGGAGCTTCTTGGCTACTTCAGCAGTGTAAGGCATGGATTCCATTGAGTGGAGTGGGACAATCAAAAAGTGGTTGGTTACTCCTATAATATTTATCCACTACTGCACCAGTAGAAGGGGGTTTGTAGTTGGGTGTAGTTTGTAGGTTTTTTGTTGTTGTTGTTGTTGTTGTTTAATTTTTTGGGACAGGGTTTCTCTGTGTAGCCTTGGCCATCTTGGAACTTGCTCTGTAGACCAGGCTGACCTCAAACTCACTGAGATGCACTTGCCTCTGCCTCCCCAGTGCTGGGATTAAAGGTGTGCACCACCACCCCCTGGTTATATAGCTGGGTGATATTGGTGATTACTTTTCTTCTTTGGTAGCATGTAGAGTACCTTCCGGTAACATCAAAGCTAATCTGTAGGGTTGAAGCTTCTATTTAGGCATCATCTTGATTTTACCATGGTTGATGACATAAACAAGTGCCATCTTCAAGCCTTACTGTCAGGTTGTGGAGAGTAACCAACAGCTGTGGCAATACCCTGTAATGTGTGGGCAAGGGTTGGGAGGGTGTCCATGGGGTCCCCTTTGGTCAGGGGATCAACAAGATGTAACCCATTCCTTTCGCTGGAAGTTTTATTTGGTGGCATAAGATGTCTAGTTGGGACATTGTCTCCCCGTTATATGGTGACTTCATTTAAATACTTTTCATAGATGTATATATATCTAGAAAGCTTCTGCAATAATAGGTTTCTGTATAAATTTTCAAAAGACCTTTCATTTTAGCTCTCCCTCCCCACATTTCCCCTTTTACAATGCCCTCTCCCTTTAATCCTCCTATTCTAGTTTTCTCTTTACTTCTTTATAATG